GTGTGTGTGTGTGTATACTTACGTATATACACACACACACACACACATATATATACAAAGGGCTCTTATTGTGTCAATCGTGTTGGGCCATTGCCAGATCTTCGTATATATGCTTATATAGGACTCGGATCAGAGATTATTGAGTGCAAGAGTATTTCGACTAACCCCGATTCTGCCTCTATCGTCTGCATTCTCTCAATACTAGACTCGGAAACCGGTGAAAGGATCTAAGGCGCATCACGCACCAGCTGTAGACGAGAACCATATATCAACCGCTGGAGACGATGCTGCTCACAAACAGAGAAAGGACGATCTACTGTATGGGCAGGCGATTAGAGAGAGCGATCTGTACCGAAGTTCCAGTGGGAACGGTAGAACCAATGTGAACAGGAGGGTTGGAGACACCGACGCTCTGCCTACCGCTACTAAGGAGACCGTCTCAACGGTTAAGGATGGTGTCGCGGGGGATATGGACACGGACATGGGCTCAGCGGCGCCCTCGAATATGAAGTCTGAGAAAGGGAAGCGCAAAAAAACACCAACAGGTAGTCAAAGGGGTGCTAGTGCCACTACAGACCCAGGCGAGCGTGGAGGGGTTGCTATGACAACCAGTACGAGCAAGAGATCGATCGCGAAAGAGAAGCACACACGCTCCAAAGACGAGGGAACCGTTGTGGGGATATCAAGTACAGAGGTGAAACCAATGCCACACTCAGCACAATCGACTACCCATAAGGCACGTGATACTGGTTGCGGCATCCTGTCAACTCCCGGTGGCGGTGCCGAAGCTTACAATCCGGAGCGAGCTCACCAAAACTCTGCGTTGGTCACAGGTGGTAGCCAGACGGTCGAGAATCAGTCGTGCACGAACACTGGCACTAGTACGAGCACGGTGCCGATGAGCCAAACCGCGAAAGCCAAGAGCAGGGGTGGGAAACGCAGTAAGAAGGCGAAAGACCGCGAGAAGGAACGCGCACGGGACAAACCGCAGACACCTGTGCGCAAGACGAGCCACGATGTAGACAGCGCCAGCAACTCAGACAAGGCGGCTGTAGAGGCGGTGGTGGTAAATGCACAGACACAGGGGACTTCTACTAAGGGGAAGCACGCGCACAAAACTCAGATACCTGATGGAGAGCACCGCACACCTACGAGTGGTAGCCGGACTACCAGCAGGAAATCGGTGGGGCCTGTGGGGGATGATCGATCGACCGCAAACGACACACAAACACACCGACACGCAGCGGATAGTACCACCGCCAACGGAGACAAAGACGTAGGCGTAAGCACAGGCACACGCGTCACAAATGCACCCCCTCCTGCCAGAGAGGGTAGGAAGGCGCGCGACGACGACACGGCACGCGACGAAGCCGCCAACCCAGGCAGAAGCACACGGATCGGTCTATCACGCAATCTGTTTGCGAACGGCCCCAAAGACCATCGCGCACGAGGGGCGGACAGTGGCTATGTAGAGAGAGACGATGCAATGACGATTAGGGCAAAAAGCAGTAACAGTTACGAACGGACCAGAAGCACGGGGTCTGGTACTGGAGGCGCTATGGACGAGGCAACGGGGGCGGCCGATGTGGATACAGACCATCGCCACCCGGATACTCGTGCGCGGGAGAGGGTGGAGGCCCATGAGCGTCTGCAGTCCAGGGGAACAAAGGGTAGCGACCATACGGCTAGAGATGGGGCTGCGAATGCGCTGTTACGGTCACAGTCGTATTCGCAGTCTCAGCAGGCGAGGCGGTCTAACAGTCCCGCGAAGGGCAACGACAGCGACAACCGGAGCGTAAGCCGGGCGGCGGAGGTCAACGCTGACTCGCTGGCACACAGAGGCGGAGATGACGGGCGAGGCAAACCGTACCATAGGATACGCAGCACGGACAGCGAACGCGAAAGAGACAGAGACAGAGACAGAGACAGAGACAGAGAATCACACAGACGAGACGACGGCGACAAAGGCCGAGACCGAGACCGGCAACGGGCTGTGGGAGGTGTGAGTGGCAGTGGCAGTCGCACTGAAATGGCGTACTACAGTGTGCGAGAGCGCATGGGTGTGGCCAGTTCTCCCGTCAGCGCGAATACCTGGGGTAGCGCCAGACCAACCAAGAAGGCGTCCAGCTATGGATCACAGTCTGACGGTGGGTGGGGAAGTGGGGCTAGAGATGCGCCGGCAAATGGGGCGGAATCAATCGACAGCACACACAGTGGCAGCGCTGGCAGTGACGATTATGCGAGTATGGACGAGCCTCAGGCAGACTATGTACTGCCCAAGTCAGGCTATGTGTGCAGTGAAGGAGAGGGGTACACAGAGAGAGCTAAGGAGCGATGCCGAGACAAGAAAGCCGAGGACAGGGAGTGTGACCGAAGCTACGACGACAACATGATGGTCAGCCGAGAGGTGCTGCGGGAAAGAGAGAGGAAGCGGCGCATCATGGCACACGAGGCCATTGAGGAGGCGAAGCAGCGCGAGCGTGCCAGGGAACGCGAACGCTACAGATTAGAGCGCGAGAGGGAGAGGGAGCGTGACGCGGAAAGGAGCGGGGATCGCGATAGACGCAGATATCGCGAAGGGGGAAGCGTGTCTGTGCTATGCGAGCAACCGAAGTACCAGCCACCCGGTAGGAGGCGGAGCGACATGCTGAAGGCCGAGAGGTCCAGAGCCGAAGCATTAGAGCTGCAACAGCAGCGCGAACGACGACGCGAGCGTAAGATGGAAAGCGACAGAGAGAGGGGGAATGAACGCGAAAGCGATAGGGAGAGTGAACGGGGCGTATGCCGGAAGAGGGATGGGGATAGAGAGGAACTTAGACATGGTAGCAGAGAAGAAGACAGAGAGGAAGTAAGAGATACAGACAGAGATAGAAGCGCAGAACGGTTCAGGGCAGCAGATAAATACGCCACCGCGACCAAACGCGGGAGCGTGGAGAGGCTTCTTAGCGTGGAGGGGCTGGGCATTAAGACCAGACACCCGGGCGTAGAACGGCGCAGTAGCATGGGAGGGATTAACAGTACGGACAAGTGCCCGCAGGGAGACCTGTACATGGGCGAAGCCGGGAACAGAAGGAGAGAACGGAATAGAAGTAGAGAAAGGAGCCGAAGCCGAGATAGGAGCCGCAGCAGGGATCGCAGTAGAAACTGCAGCAGTGACGCACGACGACGCCGTAACAGTGAAGACGACAGGGACAGACAGAGAGGAACCGACAGAGACGGACGAGCAAGGAATGCCGTGAGTGCCCGACCGAGTGATAGGCACAAAGACTCGTACACCACCAGTGACAGTGAAGACGACGACAAAGATAGGACGTATGGCAGCTCCGAGTATCGGAGGAGAGAGGGGCGTAACAGCAGTCCGGAGAGAGCCTCAGACGTGCACAGGAGAGGCAGAGAGCGGGGCAGAGACAGTGGTGATCGTGGAAGTGAGTGGGAGTACAACCGCATCCGAGACCGGCAGCTATACGACCGGTCCTATTCACCGTCGCCCAGGAGCTCTCCCGTGGCGATACCATCATCAGGGTTTGCCTCGAGCGTACGCCCGCATGCGCATACGCAGGCGAATGCACATGCGCACTCCCTCGGCAGGTATCGCTCCACTCCCACATCGCCTGCTAAGCATATCCCCATGCTCGCAAGCGGGAACACCGGCAAGGCGCCGTCGCGCCAGTCTGTGATCATGGATCTGATCAACAATGCTGGGTTGGATGACAGCGTCGCGTTTGAAAGTAGTAGTGACAGCGACGTAGGCGGCCAGGACGATGGTATATATCCCGCTTAGTGTGTTGTTCAAAGCGTGTGCGCGTCTGTAGGGAATGCAGAAATTGTCGTATTATCGCAATGTCCGATTGCCAAATTGTCGGATTGTCAGATTGTTGGCGTGTTCGACTTGGACACCAGTAGAACAGATATTCACTTCTTTTATGCGTGACTTTCCCACCACATTCTAGGGTATGAGAGCAGCCGCAGCGACTACCGCAACGGAGACAGCAGCGGAGGAGAGTACCTGAAACGGCTGACAAGCGCTGTACTGGAACTGCACGACTTCTCAGCGGACGTCACCACCGAAGACTTAAGGGTAACTATACTGTAGTGTGCTCCTCATAATCATTAGGTAAACAGAAACACTGCTGTGAGTGGTTTGTTGCACCGGCTTTCCGTGCGCGTGCTCCATCAGCTGTATGCACTGTTTTGCGCTAGTACTACCTGTCCATGCGAGGGAGCAGGGTGGCTCTTGGCACACGACGCATTCCCCAGTCAGCACTCAGTCAGCAAGCACGGCCACGCCAAGTCAGTCTCTATGTCGAGCGACTGGGAAGTGTGGATCTAGTTTCACGCTGAGTACCACTATACCTCACCACATCTCGCCACATCTCACGTATATCTCCATATACTATTGCTACGGTTGCGTTCTGCGGTATCCCACGCCTGAGATACTGTCATTACGGCACACCATGCATGCGGGATACTCAGCAACATACGTAGTCACACACTGTGCAGTTTCGATTGTCGATGGTGACGCTAGTCCATTCCGTTCACAGGACCTTCTGGAGCCGTACCAACACAATGTGGACTTCCGCTGGGTCGATGATACACACGCCTTAGCGGTGATGCGCTCGGCCGAGCTTGGTAGGTGACGAGGCTTAGAATGCTTTATATGCCTATACGGTTCTTGTGGTCGTGTATTTGCTAAGCATATTAGGATAGGTGGAGAGGCTTCAAAATGCTTTCTATATATTAAGATGGTTAGGGAAGCTTAAAATGCTTTATATGAATTAGGGTAAGTGGGGAGGCTTAGAATGCTTACTATATATTAGGATAAGTGTGGAGGCTTAAAATGCTTTCTATATATTAGGATTAGTGCAGAGGCTTAGAATGCTTTCTATATATTAGGGTAAGTGGGGAGGCTTAGAATGCTCTCTATATATTAGGATGAGTGGGGAGGCTTAAAATGCTTACTATATATTAGGATAAGTGCGGAGGTTTATAATTCTTTCTATATATTGGGATAAGTGGAGGAGGCTTAGAATGCTCTCTATATAATAGGACAAGTGGGGAGGCTTAGAATGCTCTATATATTAGGGTAAGTGGGGAGGCTTAGAATGCTCTCTATATATTAGGGTAAGTGGGGAGGCTTAGAATTCTCGCTATATATTAGGATGAGTGGGGAGGCTTAAAATGCTTACTATATATTAGGATAAGTGCGGAGGTTTATAATTCTTTCTATATATTGGGATAAGTGGGGAGGCTTAGAATGCTCTCTATATATTAGGATGAGTGGGGAGGCTTAGAATGCTCTATATATTAGGGTAAGTAGGGAAGCTTAGAATACTCTATATATATTAGGGTAAGTGGGGAGGCTTAGAATTCTCTCTATATATTAGGATGAGTGAGGAGGCTTAAAATGCTTTTTATATATTAGGATAGGTGCGGAGGCTTAGGATGCTTACTATATATTAGGATGAGTGGGGAGGCTTAGAATGCTTTCTATATATTAGGGTAAGTGGGGAGGCTTAGAATGCTTACTATAAATTAGGATAAGTGGAGAGACTTAGAATGCTTTCTATTTATTGGGGTAAGTGGGGAGGCCTAGAATGCTTTTTATATATAAGGATAAGTGGGGAGGCTTAGAATGCTTTCTATATATTAAGATAAGTGGGGAGGCTTAGAATGCTTTCTATACATTCAGATAAGTGTCGAGGCTTAGAATGTTTTGCATGCCTTCCACGATGCTTGTGGTAGTGCAACTGACAGGTATATTGCATTAGGATATGACTGCACACACACACGCATGCGCAACGTTCTCCTTAGTGAGCTCCATGTCTGCTATTGCGCTGCAGCGCCGGCCAACCAGTCAGTATTCACACGGCTGTTGGGCCTTCCTCAATAGATATACACGATGCTGTTCCATAGTAACCAGCAAGTGAAGTACTAACCTAATGTATCTGTCACACCTTCTGCTGGGGTGCTGTGGTGCTGACTCCAGCTAATGCGGTGTACGCTGACAGGCACAGTCTGCCCATTGGGGTCAACCTTTTCAGAGACGCCACCACGGCATCACAGAGAAAGTTCGGTATGATAAAACACACAGCCCTGTACATGCACATGCCTTCGTATGTGTGCCATGTATAGTGGGTGTATTCTTCTTTGTGGTGCGTGTGTGGCTATGGGCTACAAATGGCTTGCGCGTGTATTGATGCCGTGTCTGCTCGGTGGTATATCCCATTCTGGTCGCTGCTGTGTGATAGTGTATTGCGCTACTGTTATTTATTGGCGATACTGTTCGCTGCTTGTTCTGTTGTTCCAGGATGTGTCTGTTGGATAGTACCTTTCGCATGTTGAACCCCAAGTATTCCACTAGCCATGACACTTACCCACAATCGCATCGTGCGCATCCGAGCGCTCCCACTCAGACTTTCTAGGGTTTTAGGGTTTTAAAGTTAGACGATTTTGTATCACTCACACACCAAACCCAAACGGCACAGACCGCACGCGTTACAGAACCACTAACCACAATGGCAATGGCAATAGCGCCAGCGGAAGTGGCTGGGGTGGACGTCCTGGGTCTGGACCAGATATGTTCCGCAGAGAAAGACCGGTGACATCCACAGCCGTGGCCAACCGACTGGTGAGTGGGGCATTGGGTATTCGCGTGGTGCGTACGGAGGAGCAGAAGCAGAGCGATCGCGAGAAGCTGGACACTGCTAAGGAGAAGCGGCGGTTGGAGCGGGAAGAACGCGCGCGAGAGCGCGAGAGAGAGGAGAGTGCGACACCCAGCAGGGACACAGGCATAGATACCGACCGAGATAGAGACGGAGATAAAGATAGAGATAGAGATAGAGATAGAGATAGTGACAGAGATAGAGAGCGAGATGCAGATGGCGATGTAGACGCCTGTGAGGGTGGTAGTGCGAACCAGCAGTGCAGCGAAGCACCGGATAGCCCGGTCGTGGGCGGGAATAGGAAGTCAGTGTCTTCTTAAACTAAACGGATCCTGCCCCGTACTGTGTCGCTGTGTGCCCTTGTGTGTGTGTGCACGTGCCTGTGTGCGTGTGCCGTGGCTCAGGGCGCAATAGTATATGTGATTGGCTTGTGCATGTCTGACTACCATAGGGCCCAGTGAGAGGGTTTACAGCGAACGTTGAACGTCAAATATACCTTTACTTAGCACTGACTGATGCACTAGCACTATGTGTGACGTTATCTTTCTCCGTTTAACGTTATGTTTGAATCTCATCGATCGGCGTGCCTCATGAGCGCAGTCCACTAGTACCATGTGTGACGTTAACTATATCCGTTTAACGATATTTTTATTCTCATCGATCGGCATGCCTCATAAGCGCAGTCCACTAGTACTATGTGTGGCGTTAACTTCATCCGTTTAACGCTATTTTATTTCCCATCGATCGGCGTGCCGCATGAGCGCAGTCTTGGCTCGCGGACGACTGATGAACTGTCCGATGGTTTGTTGGCATGGCTTCCGAATGAGTAGTCTTGTCCCGAGTGTGTGGCTGCCGTTCCTTCGGTCGACTTCGGCATATTCCTTCATGCTCTTATATCGGCAGTCCGTTGATTTATAGTTCGAAGCAACCTCGACAAGCTGCAGCTCCGGCCCTTTCAGTTTTTTATCCGTCAGGATATACTCCCTAGTCAACCACTCCGACATCCAAACCGCCACATACCAGACCAGGCTTCTCGTTGGTAGTCCTTTTATAATCGTTGGTAGTGTTGGCTCATTCCTCCATAGTCGTGTGGTGATCATAGCTCATCTGAGTCTGTATGGGCTGCTAGTCCTCAAGAGAAGCCACCGCATTTGGTGCCCTGCCCTCTGTTGTTCTTCGCTGTTGGGTGGCGTGTAACGTCTCTCCGGCGACGACTTGTGGTGTGGTATTGTGATTGATTTGATCATGGTTGACAAGTGTGTCCATTCACCTGTGTCGATATATCGGTCATATGAGGACCATGCGCTTCGTGACCTCACTATCAGGTGCGACTAGTTGTTCTGTTATCTCTGAGATAGTCTCAACAACGCTTCTACGGTCGTGTTATTTCTCTAGTCTCGAGTGGGTCACAAATGGTGCACTTGCGAAAGAAGTTGCAAAGCTCATAGAATCCGCGTTTACAACAGACTACGGTGAAGACCGCTATATGAAACTGTGGGATGACTAGTCCGTGGAACGTCAGTCGCGTGCGTAGTGTCCCTTTGCTCAGTTGCTGTACCACTTATTCAGTTGATGGGATTGTGGTAGCCATCCACACGCTGTTGCTTCGTGGGGTCAATTGCCCAGGCGCGAGACGTCGTGTGCCATCACTTGCTCATCATGATCCATCGAGTCTCGACTTGTAGGTCAGACTGGTATTCAACCAGATCTGAGGTACAAATGATGAAGGTGGTTTTGTTTAGGCATGTCTGATTACATTGAATATTCGTACAAATGACGAGGGTGGTTCTGTTTAGGCACGTCTGATTACATTGAATATTCGTACAAATGACGAAGGTGGTTCTGTTTAGGCATGTCTGATTACATTGAATATTCGTACAATTGACGGAGGTGGTTTTGTTTAGGCATGTCTAATTCCGTTACAAATGATGGAGGTGATTATATTTAGGCATATCTAACTGAATCGGAAATTTGGTCAGTGCGAGGACTCGTGCAGAATCGAGACACCTTTGAATCTCTGGTGATGTGGTTTGCGAAGTCATGAGATGTACGTTCTTAGGGGTCATGACCGCTGTAGATTCGACCTGATTTTGGAACGATACCCAAACCGTACGATCAAATCTGGGGAGGTAAACTGGGTGATAGCTATGTATTATACTGAATGATAGCTATGTATTATACTGGATAATAGATATGTATTATACTGAATGATAGCTATGTATTATACTGAATGATAGCTATGTATTATACTGAATGATAGCTATGTATTATACTGAATGATAGCTATGTATTATACTGAATGATAGCTATGTATTATACTAAATGATAGCTATGTATTATACTGACTGATAGCTATGCATTATACTGGATAATAGCTATGTATTATACTGAATGATACCTATGTATTATACTGAATGATACCTATGTATTATACTGAATGATACCTATGTATTATACTGAATGATACCTATGTAATATACTGAATGATACCTATGTATTATACTGAAGAATAACCATGTATTATACTAAATGATAGCTAAGTATTATACTGACTGATAGCTATGCATTATACTGAAGAATAGCTATGCATTATACTGAATGATAGCTATGTATTATACTGGATGATAGCTATGTATTATAATTATACTGAATGATAGCTATATATTATACTGAATGATAGTTATGTATTATACTAAATGATAGCTATGTATTATACTGAATGATAGCTATGTATTAAACTGACTGATAGCTATGCATTATACTGGATAATAGCTATGTATTATACTGAATGATAGCTGCTTACCTAGGCTATATGACAGTAGTGCGCAAGAGTGGTGTGATCTAAGAGAGTAGCTTCAATGCAGCTCCTAGTACATACTTTGCAACGTCTGGACATGCAGAACTGAAAGTAAAAATTACACCACTGCTCGTCGTCAACGCTACAAATAACATGGAGCCACATTCCCCCGAAAACTTAAGGTTTATCTTGTTGAATAGTAGCTGATGACTAATCATTACTTACAAATAACATATGGAGCCACATTCCCCCGGAAACTTAAGGTTTATCTTGTTACATAGTAGCTGATGACTAATCATTCCACAGCGAGGTACAACACAAGCCAACCCATCTGCAGAACAAGTGATAGTGCCCAAAAAGTGGGCGAAGAGCGCTTGCCTACATACTTGCACAGTACATTCATACCTAAAGTGGGCAGGGCAATTAGCACCCCCTAGCCCACACACTTGCACAGTACATTCATACCTAAAGTGGGCTGGACAATTAGCAACCCCTAGCCTACACACTTGCACAGTACATTCATACCTAAAGTGTGCAGGGCAATTAGCACCCCCTAGTCTACACACTTGCACAGTACATTCATACCTAAAGTGGGCAGGGCAACTAGCACCCCCTAGCCCACACACTTGCACAGTACATTCATACCCAAAGTGGGCAGGGCAATGAGCACCCCCTGGGCATCCACTATCGCAACCAGGCCATAGCGGACATAGCTCGGTTCCTTTGGCAACTTGGTTTGTATCTTGTATGCCGTAGTACGCACTCCAGAGACAGGGCCAGCACCTGTGCACTCATGGCTGTCCTGAGAAGACCATGACCCAGTCCTATCAGAGAGTGGACCGGGTGCGCCGCTGTTGAGGGCAGTGTATGGCCCATCTATGTGCCGACTGAGACGCTGATACCTGTTACTGCCCGTCGTGATGATGTCGGTCTGACGTTCCATTTGTTTCCACAAATGGAAATCGCTCGCCAACACGTGACGTGCGTATAAGGGAAGTCGATCCTCCGTTAGGCTATATTAACAAGTGTATGGAGTATAAGGGAGACGATCCGCCGTTTGGCTATAAAACGAGCAGTTGCAAGCATACCACACACCACATAAAGAACAACACAACAACACACCACATAAAACAACAGTACAACAACACACCGTCCGATGCTGTGAATGGTCACGGCCACTCTGTCATCGAAGATCCGTGGTGCGCCAGGCTCCATCCGCAGCCAACACAGCCGATTCCACTCACTCTGCGGAGGTCGCCCACGACACACCACCAGCCCACACTCCTGTCTGCCCTCTCTCAGTACACGTAGTTCCTTTGGGGTCACTGCCGGTGCTATATCACTCCTTTGTTGCAGCTCTATACGCGTTGCCCCGCTTCGGCCTTGGGCTGCTATCTCGTCGTGCCGTGGTCTGGGTGCCCTATCAGACGGAACATCGGTGCCCTGCCCATGCCCAGCAATGCAAGGGCTGGTCTTCGCACCCCTTTGACCTTCGGCCAACCGTCCCGCAGTCTCTGAGTCCTCATCGGCTGCTTCGCGTGGGGTGGCTGGCGGAATAGAGCGTCCGGATGGTCGACCTCCCACACACTGCTGCAACAGCGCACTACCTTTGATCGTAGCGAGGATGGGCCCGAACTCGGTGGCGAAATTAGCCTCTAGCGTCTCACAGAGACTTATGGCCGCTTGCAGTCCGGAATCCGACTGTGTCTGGAAGGTTAGAAAGGTGGGTTATTACCGCCAAATAGGTATAATTCCCGTACATAGTAAGGAAGCTCGCAATGTAGGACCGCACGTCCACACCAGCGATGACTGGTATCGAAGCACCACGCAATAAAAAACAATTCGACATAAAACACTACAGTTCTATCATCTTACACTTACCCCTCCATGGTGTTTGGCTGAGTGTTCAATCTTTCGCCGATCTGAGGTCCTCTGCAGCACTGCCGAGCACTTTCCTATCGATAATCCCTTGTTCAGCTGAGTACCACAGTGCGAGCCCTGCTCCAAGTATCTGCATTGGCGATGGGTGCACAACTTGAGTATAAGCGAAACTCGTCAAAGACTGTGACTATACGAACCATGAGCTATCTCTATACGAAACAAGAGCTATCACTATACGCAAAATAAGCTACCGTATATGTGCACGCACCTAATGGCATCCCGTTGCACAACTAAGCTCGAACCGCTTGAATATGTACGTCAATACTGTGGAGTATGAAACTCCGCATCCAACCCGTGCTAACAACAAATAGGTCACCAGATGCGAGTGTACGCTGCCGTACCTATCGAAGGCGATTGCCTGCTCAGGCGACAGGGGGAACCGCGACGGGCCAGACACCACAGCGCATATACGATTGTAAACACGCCGACGGAGCGACCATGGCAGAGTCAGCAGAACGGATGTATTAGACAGCGTCATGTGGCCATAGGTGGGGCTGAGGTACATGTGACGGTCGAAAAGGTCGTCGACTGTTTGTGGGCGAGGATTGATGAGGAGTGGGCTATGAGTCTCTGATGGTACGCTCCTGGTATCAGGTAGATCTGTGCCAATACCAAGTCGTGGTATAGTGCTCGAGGACGGTCTCATTGCATTCTTCACAAACGTACATGTGTACTAATCTCTCCCCCCCCCCCCACACACACACCACCCGAATTCGGTGATTTTTCGGTTGAATTTGGTCGCAGTCATTCGGGCACATCTGTTTGAACCACGCGTTTGTAAGTCCGATACGCCTAAACGTGAACTAAAACACAATGAAAAAACGATCACGATTAACGTGCACATCGGCTATACAACTTCAGAACAGACGAACCATCCAATCGAATCAATCGAAGTCCGAACTTCGGGTTTGACATTTTTGAGCTGACAATACTCAGACCAACGGCAGCAACTTACTGGTTTTGTTAAACGCTTCTTTCACCACCCGGGCTTGCTGTGCCAGGGCTGCAAGGCTTTCTGGGGACACCCCTGTAGCCTCTGAGTATCTGCACGAAATTATCGGCCAATTCTTGATCGTTAGGGTCGTAACACTCAAAGGAGACGGGCCCGCAAAGGCAATCGGGACAAAAAAATTGATATTGGAGAATGTCTAAGCAGATTGAAGCGTAAGTATAGCCTGATAAGGTAGTCGGATACATCCGTAGAAACACACAGGTGTGTATGTACACGAAGACAGCACGGGTATACATACACGAGTTGCAGCGCCTTGCGAATCCGATTACGTTCATACACAGGCTTCTGATTGGTAGGATCGTCGATCCAGGAAAACGAACTGTGCTGCAGCGTTGCGACTATCCGCCACTACCAGCACGTATTAATGAGGTAGCAATAAACGTTATGAGTTGCTGTGCACGTAATCTCTGTCTTTACGCTGTCATGCCGAGTGTGTCATGAGGCTAAGGCATTCTATCCACTGACGTCATCGAATAATTGTTGCTCAGATAAGACGGCGCAAACTTTTTGTATTTGTGGTACAAAGTTAATATTATTGGAATAATGCAGGTAGTTTACAATGCAGCCCATAGTCATCAACCAAGCATATATACATATATATACAAATGTATGTACTTATATATATATATATATATATATATATATATATATATATATTATGTGNGTTATATATATATATATGAATGCGTTATATATATATAAATGAATGCGTGATATACATATACATATATATATATATTATATATGCGTGTATGTATACATATATGAAGTACAGCCAATATGTTTTGCAAGCCTTTATAATTACTCGTTCAATATGTCTACTGTTTATTTTCATATCCTGCAACAGTCAATCTCTATTCAACTTAAGCGTATCTGGCTAAATTATCTGCGAGCTAAAACCAAATTCTATCAATTAACTTTAGGGTACAACATCATCCCGATTTATCATGTTCAAAGTCGGTACTGGAGGCGAAATTCATCACTCGCACCAGAAAGAGCACAAGCAGATCTATCCCCAACAGGGATGGGTTGAGCATGACCCAGAAGAAATCTACAGTAAGTTCTTCCTCGCGTGTTGAAATATGTAAAAATGATCGCTTGTACTCTTCCATCCCTTCGTATCTATTGAACTTCCCCTAGTAGTGAGTGATGACAAAGCGCATGCCTGTCTATATATACGTATCGACTCGCTAAAAATCGCATTTCTATATCTACACTTGTCTACTGCAGAGAATTGTGTTGATTGCATTGAGAACTGCATTGAGCATTTGGACGAACCATCTCAGCTCAAGGGTTTCGGTATCACCAATCAGCGTGAGACCACACTGGTGTGGGATAAGAACACCGGAAAGCCTCTTCACAACGCTATCGTAAGTTTTCATATCGTTAATCAATAATTTGACATTTATTCCGGATGTTTATATGTTATCATATGTGGTGTGCGGCCATAGATTTATGTGCATAACTATATTAGTATTAAATAGGACTGTTGAGCGCTTGAAGTTTAGTATCGATTCATAAAGTTAGATGCTTTTCCCGTTGCTACGTGTCTACATTGAATATGCTACAAATATTGGTCGGAAGTACCAGCCCTGTTTTAAAAGTACGGTAAAACAACTCTCTGTAGGTCTGGCTGGACACGCGTACACAATCTGTGTGCAACGAGTTCTCTGATCGTAATGCTTTCAAGTACATCTGCGGTCTTCCCGTCTCCACGTATTTCTCAGGTATGCCAAGGGGTCTGTTTAGTTTCACAATCGAGTGTTATTGACATGGTGAACAGCCGACGGTTCCTTTTCAAGTATGTAATGGGCTATTCATCTCTTGTACACCTCTGTATAGGAATGAAGCTCAAGTGGATGATCGACAATGTACCCGCAGTAAAGTCAGCTCTGGATGAAGGCACCGGATTGTTCGGTATGTACATGGAACAGCTCTTGCTCGAGTTTCAGACCTCAGAAAACCTCGCTTTTGACACTTGCGTGCAGTTTGCGATTCTTATGTGACAAAGTCCCTGTAAGGGCGCTTTAGCGTATATATTCTGCATAGTACCAAACTATCACCTCAAGGATCTATTATAAACCCATTCAGGTACTATCGACTCCTGGTTGCTATGGAAGCTCACCGGTGGACCCGATGGCGGTGTCCACGCAACGGATGTTACTAATGCATCCCGAACCATGCTTATGAACATCCACACTGGTCAGTGGGATAAGGATATGTGTGAAGTACTCGGTGTACCGATGTCTTGCCTACCCGAGATACGCTCTTCATGCGAGGTATGTGGATTGAGATTGCACAAACGGAAGATTTGACCTAGCATACTAAAACAACGTGCCTTTCTGCAAGCACAACCTGTGCATGAATACTGAGCGAAAATGGCCCACAACAACTTACTGTTATCGACACCATTCCAATCCACTACAGACATATGGCCACTACAAGTCAAAGGGCCCTCGTGAGTTCAGCATGCCTATCTGCAGTATCCTAGGTGATCAGCAGGCGGCTTTGGTTGGTCAGGGATGCTTCAAGGAAGGCCAGAGTAAGAACACATACGGAACCGGATGTTTCTTCATGTCGAACGTTGGTGAGAAGCCCGTGTTCAGTAAGAACGGTCTACTTACCACTGTCGGCTACAAGGTATGCTCGTCAGGATATACAGAGGTTTCTGCGTGGTCACGTATATCGAATCCGTTCCGTTGCCTGCCTGAATTAATGCCTTTATGAAGATCGATATTCCTTTATGCGGTCAGAATTACAATCAAGTCAATGTACACTCGCTCAACCTTTTCCCCCCGTATCTCTATGACAATGTAGGCCGGACCAAACAAGCCTATGTGCTACGCGTTGGAGGGTTCCGTTGCCGTAGCAGGAGCGTGTGTGCAATGGCTAAGAGACAACTTGCAGATCATTGAAGGCGCCCCCGAGGTCGAACTATACGTATGTTTTACTGTCTTTGCAGGCTCTAAACCGCAATTGATGTTGTTTTTGTCTGGTTTCAGGTTGTTGCTAGTCTAGTATAGGTTTTCCCAAGCTGTCGATTCTCAATTGATACGCCAAAAATGCGCTTGTCGACTATTTATTATGCGAGTAAACAAGTACTAATTTGCAGTCTTGTCTGTCTCACTCTAGGCTTCTGAAGTAGAGGACACCGGTGGTATGTACTTTGTCCCCGCCTTCTCCGGTCTGTTCGCCCCCCACTGGCGCGAGGACGCCCGTGGTGCGATGGTAGGCATGACCATGTACACCAATAAGAGGCACGTGTGTCGCGCCGCCATCGAGGCTATCTGCTACCAGGTACGAGTCTTATCCTCACTTTGAGCGTCTGTATGGTGTTTGGAGTGTTCGTGAAAGCTGAACGTATACTAATAGGAATGTATTGCACTAGCATTAGTTTATAGCCACCTCGGTTGGTTTAGTCCGTACTGATCATTCCTTCGCACACTTTGACTTGCGCACTTCAGGTGTCCGATGTTATCGATGCTGCCGAGGCTGACTCAGGTATCCGTATCACCAAGCTGAAGGTCGATGGAGGTGCCGCAGCCAACAACCTGATGATGCAGTTCCAATCCGATCTCCTAGAAGTTGAGGTTGTACGACCCAAGATGTTGGAGATCACTGCTCTCGGTAAGAAACAGGATCCGTATTTGTATGCTTTGGATTGGCCGGTTGCGGCTTTCGTCTATATATGCGTATATATATATATGTCGCATACGTTTGTGTATGTGCAACGGTGTAAACTTTTTTAAGCAAAACATATTAAATGGCACAACTCAACTTGTACTTGTTTGTTGCATCAGGTGTCGAGTTCTTTGCCGGTCTATCGCTAGGCATCTACAAGGATTTCAATGAGCTGCTTGAAATTGCTGACAACGCCGGTCGCAACTTCCACGTAAGTTAATTTTGGGTTACGTGATACTCTGAATACTCCTCGCACCATTTAAACCATGTGCTTCGAATGTGAATATACGAGACGTTGTGTGTGTACACACATTCATCCTAAGGGGATATGCTTACCCCGTACACCGGGTGCGTCTAAACTATTCTTTCATTCGAGCCCTGATTTGCTGTCACTTGGTATTCATTTCCTGTTTGCTTTGTTCGTATCTCAAACAGCCAACAATGACCGAAGAGGTGCGTAAGGTCAAGAAGACCGGTTGGAACAAGGCCATTGAGAAGAGTTTGGGCTGGGTCGATGACGAGACCAAGGCCAAGGCCGAGGAACTTTAGTTAAATACATGTGGTCACCACGTGTGTAAAATCCCGGGGTTAGCGCGATAGCACGATCCGCTACTTGGGAGCACTTATCCTCAGTAAGAATAAGACTAGTAATAAAGAACCATCCACACTAACTATCCTTGTCCCAACTCAGTAAGAATTAGACTAGTAAAAAACATCCACACTACCAACTACTTGAGCAAATTTATAACCCCAAAGTATGTTTGTGTATGCGGTATGCCTGACCTGCCACACGTGGTAATGGTGACTGCAACCACACCTGTGTCTAGAAGTGAGCAACATATCAAGGGAACATATTGACGAATTGCTTGTATGCTAAAGTATATATATATATATATATATATCAATATATATATATATTATTATTATTATATATATATATATGTATATATATATATATATCTATTAATTATTCATTTATATATATATATATATATTCTTTTTATATGTGTATGTAATTCAGGACAGCTTTTCCTTGACTACCGAATATAATGTACCACAGTAAGCAGTGTTGACGTCATACCTGCTCTTGTGGTGGGTGTCAGACCACACCCTCGTGCGGCAATGTCAAATTCTGCCATAGAAATCGGGCTGGTGTCTGCAGGCTTGGCCACGAGTTGTGTGATAGTTTCAGCAGTGGCATAGCCGCTTCGCTGTTGATCACAAAGCATGTTTCTATGGAGACCATTGCTAGCAACGAGAATAGGTTGCTTACTACGTGAATGCAGTGTTATGGAGATACATGTAGCATGCACACTACGCTCGTGGCCACGGATATTGCTCGTAGCATACCAGCTTCGCTGGATACGGCATGCCTTCCGAAAAACACGGATGCATATGTGTCGTATATACATGAATGCAAAAAAAACCAATTGTAATCGAAGGAGAACCACTCTTGATAATGGCCCACGACACTATCATTCATTTCGCGTCTGCATAAGTACTAATTTCTGCTGCAAACAGGAAGCTAATTGGCAACCTGGAATATTATCGGCACTCAGCACAAACTTGGATTTAAACTATATCTCCCTAAAAGATAGAAGAGAAAGAAAAGTTGGCAGGATCTCTGGTTAGAAATCCGATACCTTTCTTCTGTGCTAAAGAGCACGGATAGAAAACTTGACGTACGAGGTGATTGTGTTCTGTTTTTAACTTAATAAGACAGTGCTTTTGGAATGCATGGATCCTTTCTATCGCTACTTCTGCCTGTTACAGATAAACTGTTTCTGTATACCATCGCACCGTGCTTTTGGTGGAAGCAGATTCCTTTATGCTGTGCTACTTCTACTAGAGGATGCGAGTCTCGTTGTATTTACATTCACTAACAGTAATATGTAAGGGCTACACCGCTACAGGCCTTTGTCATATATCATAGTCCCCCGAAAAAGAAACACATATACATAGCCTCCTGAATAATCAACATATATTTTATACATAAACCCTACATGCAGACAAAACCCTACTATTTATAGTATATTTAGCCGGCGACACGAAAAACACACTTTATGCATCATGTAAATATTCGTTTTTTATAAATATAGTTTTGGTTTTTCCCAAAAAAAAATACCAACCGGCAGCCTGCAGGAGTGCGTATGAAAATATATATATCTGAATGAATATGTACCCACTCGAACAGTTGTGATATAAGTAAATAAGACGCTACAAAACTAAATACGTTAGTACATAGATACTTGATGTATTTTTAATATGAACCAACACATATTCTTCAGCACAAAATGAATTCATGACGACCACACAATTAATGATAGTAGTAAGAATACATTCTCTTTAACAGTGAAGGAGAGGGCAGAGTGCAGAGTGCAGACGCTTCTCCACTGAACAGTAGGCTCTAAACAACACGCTACCAGCCTGCGATATTTGGAACACTTTGTAATCGATCCATCTCTTCAAATCCAACACAATGTCCGCGTTAGTAACTACGACGATCTCTAAACCCAAGCGAAAGCGCACAGATTTGACTTTGACCCAGAAAGAGACCATTGTAAGTGGTATGATCGCCTCGGGCTGGTCTCTGGATCAGCTGAGTGCTGAAAACATGAAGAAGAAACTCGTCAAACAGGAGGTCAAAAACATGTCGGCACAGTACGGTGTGGTAGATAAGACTATCAAGCGCATCATGGAGGCCGCTCGCAGGGCTAAGATATGCGTAGACAATCCATCGGAAGCCACAAAGCCAGAGCTCATGCGCAAGACCATTGTAACAGGCGATTCCAAGCGTAAAACTTCCGGACAACTCCCGGAAGTCGAGGAGAAGCTGTTCGCTTGGATTGAACGGCTCCGACGGCATAGGATTGTACTGCAACGAGGCATGGTGGTGGGGAAAGCGGAGGAAGTTGCGGGCCTGATGGGCATGCAGGATAAGCTAAAGTTTTCTGAGGGGTGGTATTCTAATTTTAAAAGGCGGTACAACCTCAACAAAGCGCAGGTACCACAGTTTGAGGAGTCTCATCTCAACCGGACGCGCGAGCTGCTGAGTGAGTATAGCCTGGAGAATGTGTTCTGTATGGACGAGACTTGCTTGTTCTTCAAAGAGACACCCAGTTGTACGCGCAGCACAGACCAGGCGCAAGGCGGTGAGGGTTCTCAGTCGGACGACAAAGCTGTGAAACCCTGTGATCGTATCACACTTATATCGTGCACCAATGCGACCGGAACGATCAAGGTGCCCTTAGTGGCAGTGGGTGCAGACAGAAATCCTCGTTCCTTTGTAGGCTCCTCCGTCCCGCTTATATACCGGTACCACAAACACGCATGGATGGACAGCGCGGTACAAGAGTGGTGGTACGAAAATGTGTTTGTGAAACACGTGAAAGAGGTCACTCGAGGCCCGGTGGCCCTGGTGATGGACAAATTTGGTGCGCATGACAATGTGACTACCAAAGACGATGTGACGGTGTATCTTTTACCAAAGGATAGTACTGTGATCCTGCCCACGGCTGCTGGGTTGAATGCTGCGCTGAAAGACGGCTATCGGGAGAAGCTGCTGACCAGTATGCTGCGGAAAGTGGCAGAGCCCAGCCAGTATGCCCACGTGCGCGATGAGGGCAAGAAACGACACATCTCACAGCGGGGATTGTTGTTTGGTTATGAGCCGCATCTGCTGGATGTGGCCAGGCTGTGTGCGGAAGTGTGGGACGGGTTGTCTGCCGAGATGATCCACAACTGTTGGCAGAACTCCAGCTGCCTGCCCATACACTTTGCGCTAGACCCGCCCGCCAAGGCCAAATTGATGGAGATGGCCAAGGCGAAGAAATCTACCTACATGGAGCTTATGACTCATCAGCTCTCGAGATTGGATGGAAACTACCAGCCCTCTTCGCATGTCCGGGAAGTCAGTAGTGTGCATCAAAAGGCACTAACAGCATGGTTGAATATAGAGATGAATCCGGATGTCGTGGTTGCTTCAGCCACACTGGACCTGCTGGACCTAAGCGACGGTGAACAGACCCTACCAAGACTAGGGGATGCGGAGGGGGCGGTTGTTGCGCATACTAACAGTGGTGCAGTCGCAGAGCAGGAACGCTACGACCAGCTCAAGGGCCTGAACGACGGGGCGTACGAAGCCTGGCTGAAGCGCGGCAAGGAGTTGATTATACCGCACATGAGTGAAGCATCGGCCGCGAAACTGCTCGAGATCGAACAGGACTTCGATTGCGTACGGCGAGAGCGGAAAGCGCTCTCGGAGAAACTTGCGTCGGAGGATGGACAGCAGACAGCCTAGAAGGTTAAGTTGAGGTTTGATCACTCCTCTTGACTATTACTATATACTAGAGCATAGACCGAAGCGCTTTATTGAAGGGTAAGGTCTAGGCGAATCGGGTGTGTATAAATACAACTCAATTGAGTCTTAGTCTAAAATGGTGACAGTTTGATACCAGTTTGGTGCATGAGCCGAGAAGACTTAAGTCGAGGTTACATCTTCCTTCTCGACTATTACTCTATACTGGAGCATAACCCAGAGCGCTTAAATGAAGGGTAAGGTTTGGGATTGAGTCTAAAGTGGTGGAATTTTGGTACATGACGCGTTAAAGGTCTTAAATGTGCAGGTGCTCGGCTTGACCGAGTATTCTGGCCAGACAAGAGTAAATATACATCAGAAGGAAACGCAAACTCGACTAATCTTTAATTTGGGATTTAATTTTCCATTTGTAATAACATCTAACAATTCTATATATATGTGTGTTCCATTGAGACAAAACTTAAATAACTGTTCGTCCCATTTCCGCATTTATGCGACTCAACGCATCCGCGCTTTCTCGTTGTTCGGCCGAATTCGCTCCATTTTCACTATTCCACTCCATTTGCATCCAATGCTAATCATCATTTTAACTATCTATTCTTGGCCTATAAATCTATTTTAAACTAGGCAACTGCTCTATTGATGTTCTATCTTACTTGTTATGAGGGTCTGTCTAACTAACAAACCACCACCCATCAGCATACTATGCCTTGGGTGACCTAGTTTTGTGCTGACACAACTGCGCCTTGTACAGACGCGTCTGTTCTCGAGACAACACAGTGCCTCGACGAGAGAACCCCCCACCCCCCCCCCCCTTGCCAAGCAACGCTGAGAATAGCAATGCACCCACACTTGCAAGTGTCCGATGCATGCATGGTTTATGCGCACGCTGCGAGATGCAGGCCCAACGTGTATGATGTTGGTACTTACTACCATTAGTTGGTATTTCTTACTACAAGCAGTTGGTATATGCTCAGTCCTACCGTTTCCCGCGAGCCTGAGTAAGGCCAGCTCAGCTGAAAGACACTCCCCACATCTCATGAGGATGGGGTACGGTGATAAGTGCTCCCTTCCCGTCCAAATGTACTGTCTATCGTCTGGCACACATGTGTGCACACCACCAGCGCTATGTGCATTCGGGGTGTGTTTGTTCCAACAAGTCTATAAGGCGATGGTACAGCCCCAAGTTCACTCGCTGGCTATGTACTGGTTCTTTGTAAAGGCAGAGCTTAGTCTCTCTATTCAAGCTGCCCAAAAATCTCTCCTACCCCTCCCTCCCCGTTTGTATATTAACATTATTTCTATACGATGAGTACGTGCGCGTCTCAACATCCGCAACTGCTCGGTGCGTGGCCCAATTCGTCACACCTTGCACTGGCATGTGGCGGCATGCCAATATTGAACTCATTTGAGCCATACACCACATCCACTACCGTCCGGCGGTGGGGGTGTGGCATCTACGAGAATGTGGTCCAGCCTATATCATCATTCTTTGTGCCGGAAGTTTGCACTCGCTTCAGCACTCGAGCGTACGGCTGCCTGACAATACTCTCCATCTGCATGGCTGTGTGCGCCGCCACTGCATTCGACCTCGAGCCTACGGGAGATGGGAAGGAATACCAAAAACATTTAGAACAGTATCTGAGGCTACTGACGTTGAGCACAGGAGACATCTGTTAACCATGCCACTTGTGTTTGATAGAGTGGACATTCTATCGCGCCAGTCAGTCGTATGGGTACGTGGCTGAGGATCACACACACTGCGACACAGAACCACATGAGCCAACGGCTGTTGCGTGACCTAAAACAAGCAACGACCCGCGCCACACACTCACACACTACATGCCCTACACCACATCTCACATACCCTACCACAGATATACACGCACTCAGATACAGCAGATATAAAATCTCATACTCACTCACTTATCCACCCACTCACTCACACTCACACTCACACCTACACTTACAGTCACACTCACTCAGCGCAGCACTTACTTGTAGAGACGCGCTGGCTGCGATTAGTTTGGCCCGTCAAGGCCGACGAGTTGGACCCGCGCGTGGTCGATCGGTGCAGTGACCTGGGCATGTACGATCGCGACGCGAGGTCGCTATGGCGCACGCTGTTGGACGAACGCTCCTCCAGGCCTGAGTACGTCATGGACGTCTGCGTCTGATACGCGGCGCTGGTGGCGGTAGACACGCTGGTGCGGCTGTCCTGCGTCTGGATACTGGGCCGCCTGCTCTGGCGCGAGGTGGCGCTGGTGTTGTTGCTCTCCTGCGCGCCGTAGGTCGGTGGCTTGGTCACGCTCTCTGGTACAGCGAACCCGTCGGCTAAGGTGGCGGGGGTCAGCAGGAGCTCCGGCGGCACCGACGCCGCAGTACTGGCCTGTGAGCTGATGGACAGGCGCTTGCGCGCGGGGGCGGGCGACGTCTCCATGCGATGGGCGGGTACTGTGACGCTCACCTGCGACTGCGTGCGCGAGGCTAGCTGGGACTGTGTGAGAGTGGCTGCGATCTTGCCGCCGGGGTCGTTGCTGTCCAGCAGGAAGTTGACTGCGTGTCGCAGGGATGAGGGTGGGTGTGGCTGGACCGCTGCTGGGGCGGGTGAGCGCGGGAGGTTGGGTGACGACGCGGGTGCAGCAGGGTCTTCTCGCGCGATGTCGCCTGTGGTGATCTCCAGACCGTCATTGGACGCTGCACAGGATGGGAAGGGGTGCATGGAGCGCTCGTGATGTTATTTATATGTGACTGAAAGATGGGATACATGGAGTATGCACAACGTGTATATATATATATATGTGTGTGTGTGACTATAACATTCAGCTGCGTGTATTTGGTCCAGACAGGCCCATGAAGAACTGAGAAAAGCTGCCTAGCACACACAGACGAGTATGATTCAGACATAGTTATAGCTATAGTACAATGTGCCGCGAGCTCACACACTGTACCACTGACTCTGTCCACATCCAGCGACATACACCCTCCCTTCTGCACACACACGCTATCACAGGACCTTAACTACATCCATACTCACCCGACAACGGCGGCGCATCGGCCTCAGCGTCTCTGGGGATATTGATCTGCATGTTGGATTTGGTGTAGTCGTCGATCATCACCATGACCTCGTCCTCACCAGAGCGCAGTCCTTCCAGGTTCAATAGCTTGCTGCTTCCCGTTGAAAGGGGCGGGATGTACTCGCCTGTCTTGTCCAGCACCTGCAGTCGCATGGTGTCTATGACCAGCGTTAAACACAAGAACGGAGAGAAGTGCGGATTGTGAGCTGTGTGGTGATACTCGTTTATTTTGGGGGGGAAAGAGGCGGGAAGAGGAGAATGCTACGCGGGAGGACTGATAGTGTAGACAGCAGATAAGGCTCACAGTAGTGACAGCGTAGGATGTAGTCTTCTGGCGCAATGAAGGCTCTAAGTAAACGTATAAACGCTTTGTGGTTGTTGAAGGCCAATTAAATGGCTACTCTACACGCCACGGGTGCGAAAGTCTCAAGGGTAAAACTATAGGGGGGATGATAACTCCCCGGGTTATCAGCCCCAACCACCAAACAGCACACAAGTCTATTAGCAAGCGCTAATAGACGTTAGTTACATAAGCGCCTTCACAGCAACCGCCAAGCATACCCTGCACCGAAACCCGTAAAACGGGACACAGCTCATGCACACACCACCTACCGAGTCTCTCCGCAAGGGTCTGCTCGGTCTGCGATGAGAGCGTGTTCGCCTGGTCCTCAAAGCGTGAGGGCATGTTTGCCAGCTCCACCGCGGGGGTGCTGTCCTGGAAGCACACATTGAACTTGGACCCGAGCGAGGCGTCGCTGCCCATATTGGACAGGCGCACGTTGTCTCTGAAGTCGAAGAGGGCATCGGCCGTGAACCATCTGCAGTCAAGACATGTGCAAGGTTAGATATGGGGTGTTATATTCCCTTTCAGTCGAGTTGTATAATATCTAGAATACATCGCGACGATTAGAAAGAGTCCGAAAGTACAGCAAAGGCTTAAGAATTGCTTTGCCCGTGTCGGTGGCGGCAACATGTGGTCGAAGACTGGAACGATAAACCCTAAACCCCTATACCTAAAACCCTAGCATATTTCATCTCCACATCCCCATATGAGATCACACGAGCTATGCTGCCTTGCACCCTTTGCACATACGCGAGAAACACGTGCATGTCCGCCCATTGATGGTCCTACTCGATACCGTGACACTGCCAACAGGTACCATGTGTGGCCGAGTTGTGTCAAATAACATAAACGTGTCTAAAAACGGTGCTGAACACACAGTCACATATACACAAGCACCACACGTATGCACACGCATATAAACGCCCGTTTAGGCTATCAAATCCACACACATACACACGAACAGACCGCTCTACCAGGTACGTAAATCAACCAAATATCATCATGCGTCATAAACAGCACACTCCATAACTAAGATGTATATATATATATATATATATATATATGTATATATATATCTGCATATATATATGTGTATATGTTATATAATATATAATTATATTATTA